TTTATACGTTTTAAATATTTTGAGTGAAAATTTGTGCTAAACCCATGAATGCCAAAACCTATGTATTAGCAACAAGACATTAGCTGTGCCTGCATATAAGTCCTTAATAAAGTCTGAATAAAAACATAACATAAGATCAATATTTTCAATGGATAAAAGCTGATCTTTCCATTGGATTTGGCTAATTCTGCCTCTGTGGAATTACACATGTATTTACTGTTGGAGACCCAGCGAGTTATTGCGTTGTTCATCTTTTGTCATTATTGCACCTAAAGAATCTCTTCAGACGCTTTGCTGCAACAGAATTTTTTTTCAATTCAACCCTTAGTTTTGTTTTTATATTTTAATTTTGCTTCAGTCACGTCAAGGCCTTCCCTGTTAACCAACCAAGCAAATGTACAGCAAGACTAGTGCCATGCCAAACGTTTTTTTTCAATATTTATCATTTTGAAAAAAGCTCAATACTTATCTTCTCTACAGAATTGATAAATGTACACATACGGCATCTATTGAAGAATAAATATTATGCTTCTTTTTTTTTCTTCAAATTCATAACAAGAGTATTTTCTTGAAGCATGTGACTTTATATATTAAGTGGAAAACATCTGATGAAACAAGTATGAAGGGTACACAATACTTTCTGCCTGCAACTCCCTATGCCACCACCAGAGGGAGAAGTTGAATTTATTTTAGTTTTTTTTTACAAATTTGAAAATTACCGCCCGCAAACATGGTCATGTGATTGCCAAACTAATTCATGGGCACTACTTTTGTTTTCAAATGGCTCTGAGTGTGATCATACTATCATACAGTGGCTTTTAGACAGAAGGGGCGGAGTTACATATTGGCCTGGATGGATCTAAAAAAACTCCAGGTCGATGTTTTTGAGAAGGACCAAAGTTTTAAACTGGTTCAAAGCTCAAAAAGTCCATTTTGCATAACACGACTCGTTTTAGATTGACGCGAGGCTGGGATTGCGATGTGGATGGAGCCTGACATCTGAATTCTCGCCGTTACGAGCTAAAAGTATTGGAAACAAATGTCTTCAGACTGAGTCCCTCTGGCTGATTGTCTGAGTGCGTGTTTATTGCTCACAAAGATAGACCAGTGTTATTGATGTATTCAGGAGAGTGACGGGGCTCGCTCGCAGGGTCCTGCAGTACGAGGTGCTCCTGAATCTCCCCATTTCTGCTTTTGGATTCTTTTATCACTGCATCTTGTTCTTCTGCTGAATAAAAGCAGATAACCTTAAGTATTAGTAAGAAATTCACCAGAGGCATCACTGCAGCTCGAGTGATTTCATAAAATGTAAAATGGTCTGTTCAATCTATATTATCTATAATCTAATATAATCTAGCATTGTTTAAAGTTTTTTTTTTTTAGTTCTTAATCTGACAATTCATTTTCAATATAAGGAGCCAAAGTACTCAATCTGAGCACTTCCCTAATGGGCCTCATTGAGCTAGCAGGTTAGCCTTGTCAATCTAAATACAGGCTACGGGAAGAACAAGGAGGGATAAAAGGAAAAGGGCACTGTTTATGAAATCGGATGCAGCCAGAATGCATACACGAGCATACAGCTTGTTTTTTTGTGGTTATTTTAAAAGACGACTTGGATATATTACCTTGTTAACATGTACATACAGGTAATACATTTCAATTGTCTTTTAAAGGAACCACAAACAATATTTTAACTCAAGAAAAAAATACTAATATTGCAAATACTTATTTTATTTTCTGTATAATTTCAGGTCGAATGAATAAAAATCAATAATTCGATAAATTCATGCCACATGCCAACCTTTTTGTATCATTGTAGAATATATCTGTTCTTGCGTGCTTAATCATTTTAGAAACATGTTTAAACTAGAACTCCCATTATTCCCATTACTGAATTCATCAACAACAACTGCCCCTATCACCAGCCCACGTTACTTGTCGGATCTGTCCGCTGACCAGGAGGATAATAAAGTGCAAAAGTGGTCAGGGAGGGTTCCATTGCAACCCCAGCCGTGTCTGCAGCCTCGCATCTGCGCCGTTTGGATCTGTTTTTTTTTATTGTTTTTTTTTTTTTGGTCGGTCTGAGGAGTGTGTCGAAGGCTTCTGTTGGGCTTCTGAGAAAACTATTGCGCAAGCTGCCAGTGTGTGATGGACGGAGATCCGGGGTTTCAGCAGCGACAAACGTGTAGCAGATGTGTAAGATCTGTGTGCGTTTGTGTGTGTGTTGGTGTGGTTTGTGCGACAAGCTGCTCACACGTCAGGAAGCATCAACAGGACTGTTTCAAGGTGAACTCAATCAGCAATTTTGTATTTAAGAAGGTAATTCTACTTGTGGAAATGGTCTCAATCTGAATCATTTTAGGTGGTAAATTGTGTAGGCGTTTATTCATTATTATTATATTGTAATTATGATTGTAGAACTCTTGGTTTACTTTATTTTAGTCTTTTTGAAAACGTTTTTTTTGTATTGTGTATTATATGTCTGCTTACCTGCACAGGGACAACAGGTTGAAAGTGGCAGTAGCTAAATCATATCTTCTGTTGTAAAGATTAATGGTTTCCTACATTGTCCCCATTCAAACTATTGACTAAAATTCTTGTGAGCTTTTCTCTGACATTTTCCCACTTTGTGTTGAAAAAAGGATATCTTAATCTTAATCTGAAGACGAAAATATGTTCGGAAAATGTGTTTTATCGTCACTTTCCACTTTTTGGCGTTGTTGGAAGGGTAAAGTAATTATCTTTTTTTGCATAATTTTCAAAAGTATGGATACTTTTGAAATATATCAAAAGTATAGATACTTTTGAAATGCTGTCAGCCTTAAAGGTAAATACTGAGCTCACACCAATGGGGAGTGGGCCCTCGTGTCAATCAAATATTTGAATTAAAACATGTGTTTTCTCCCTGCATCATTTTAAACTACTTTTGTTACTCCGTGTTTGGACTTAACCAAAGCTGGGGAAATGTTAAAGGATTGGTCAATAATTTGGATTTTTACATTATACATACATACGTTTTCTTCCCCTTAATCCCTTTCTGGGTCGGGGGGGTTGCAGTCAGAGCTGCACCCAATACACATAGCACCAGCCCCTACGATTTTTACATTAACTATTCTTAATTACAGTAAGATAAAGTATGTAGTAATTTTCTGGGGGTTTTAAAATGAGGTATAACACAGTTTGATAACTTAATTTAACGTTACCATCAATACTGCTAAGTTAACAGCGTTTGTAAATCATTTCAGTGGCCACTCAAAACAGTCTGGCCGTCCGCATTTGGCTCTCGGGCCTTGAGTTGCACACCTGTGTCATAAACCAACAGACTTTGTGAAAGCTTTGCTCGACATGTGAACAGCTTGTGCAGGACTTGGCAAAACTATGTTCTATATAATTAAACATGCACATGAGACATAAACAATAGCTAATGGAAATGAGTTTGCCAAAGTACCCTCACGCAAAACACAAACCCACACACAACTTTGACCGTTTGCTCGCGCTGAAACCCCCCGAAGAGAAGCGTGGTTGAGAAGTCCACTCATTCACCATGTGTTATAAAAAAGAGAAACAGCATAAATATCCAAACAAATATCAAATATAAGACCTCCTATATGCAGTAACATTCTAGATAACTTCATGACGGACTCACGGTTAGTCCTGCTCGGCGCGTTTCCGCAGGATCATATTCACAATGATGAGAGATGCACCACAAAGTCCATCATAGAAACGTATGTGTGTATGTATAGACCTATGTACAACGCAACAACACCAGATGAAGAAAAAGTCAAACGCACAAGAGATCCCAAAGTCCCGTCATGCAGGGGGAACATTTACAGTGGGGCACCTGAGGAGAACCGCCTCACTTACTTCCTGTCCCGCCGAAAAGAACAGATTCACACACGCTCGTCCTCTGAGGCCTCCGTGTTCGCTTTGCAAAAAAAGGGTTTTTTTTTTCTCAGGGGATATTGTAAAAGTTAGAGTAGGGACTTTCTCTGCAGCGATGATATGAGAAACTTGGATTCTGAATGTGTTTTGTTATGGTTCTTATTTCTATAGTTATTGAGTTTCAGGGCTCCAACTTTTGTTTGTTTCACACATTTCGGGACTTTTATGGCGCCTAAAGGGTTAAAAAGAATAGACTTTGAAACACAATAAAAATGCTTATTGACCTATTTGTATTAAAAATAAAAAAAACGTATACTCTAACATACTCAAGTCAAAATAAACGTATGTCCATTATTTACCTACTGTTGATTACGTAAAGAGCTATCCAATGTTTGTTGTTCCATATTTTTAAGCAAAATTATGTAAACATTTTTGTACAGTTGTGCTTGAAAGTATGCACATCCAGGCTAATTTATTTTAAATTATTTTAGGCCATATTTCAGAGATTAAGAGTGAAAAATGAATCATCCATTATTAGTGGATGTGTGAAGCCATTACCTAAATAAGCATCTTTTCTTTTTTCTAATGATAATGACGACAGAAACGCCTCCTCTGACCTTGAGCAGAAGTCTACATACCCCAGTTCTCAATATCCTATAATTCCCCTTTAACATCTAAGATAGATCAGAGGCTCGTGATCCTCTCTGATCCATCCTACTCTGCAAAATGCTCCAGTTCTTGTACTTTCCTGGGTCGCCTTGCATGAACTACACTTTTAATTATCTGCAACTCAATTATGTGATCATTTAGAAAATCAGATTTTTATATAATACATTTTTACGTTTTTAAACTGGCCAATGCTAAGCGTGCCTTACTCTGGCAAATAAACAAGTTTGGACTGCTGCAAACTGTTTAAAAAGAAGTGAATGTGTTTTTTAAGTTAACAATGTATAAATATCCAACATTCCTTTAAGAATTTCTGACAATATAACCTTGATGATAAAACTCTTTTTCCAACAGATACACGTGCATCCAGAACTTAAGTTTCTCATATTCTCTGCTGCAGTGGGGGTGTGGGGTGGAGGCTTCCAGTTCTCGTTGAGCCGTAGTGGGCGGGGTCACAGGTCTGAGGGGGCGGGCTCAGAGGGCGAGTTGGGGGTGGGCTCTGGGGGGGACTGTGGGGGCTCGTCCGGCGTGCGCTCCTCCGTGCTCTGGCTGGGGCTGCCCTTACTGCTGCTGGGACTGCTGGCCTCTCCGCCCTCCACAGACCTGCTGCTGCTGCTGCTGCTGCTGCTGCTGCCTCCTCCGTCCTGGCCCTCAGAGTTCTCCAACATCTCCTGGATGAGGGGGGGCATGGAGCCGGGGATCTCCATCTTCAGTGAGATGACGCGCTCCGCACCTGCAGGAAACAAACAGAACAAAACAAGCCTGTGATGAAGTTGAAGGTAAAGATTGGTGCCACTCCTGATTGGCTCTTTGGTCGCTATAGGTCGTCAAAGCTCAAAGCGTCAAATAGCGACTCATAGGGCTCCTTCTAACTGATATCATATTTTATAATAAGAGAAAGACAGCGTGTTGTGGTTTGATTTGAATTTAACTCAGATTTAGAGCTCCTGGTGGTTAGACCAGAGCTACAGCAGAGACCAAAAGTTAATTAATTAGAGAATCGAAAAGAGAAAAATAAGTCTGAGTCCTTTATTGAAATGGCGTTTCGACCAAACTAATTAGAGTCCTCAAAAAATAAATACCAAAAAAACACTTACACTCTAACACTTATTACCAACACTGCTTGTACTTAGCCGAGTGGGACACTTGTTTTCAATGTAAAAGGAAAGTTCAATAGCAAAGTGAATAGATCAGATCAGAGAAAAAACCCAAGCAAAAGCAGGCGCCCACCAGGACAGCTGTGGACAGCACCTTTGGCCTCACTTCTGAGTTCTGCACCTGTTCTAGGCTTTAATGCAAAAACATTCCACAGAACTGTCCCTGATCCTTGTCCGTTAGCTTGGAATGCTCACTTTCACTCTTTCCCTTTCTTTATGCGCCTCTTCCAGTCTCTTGCTCTGACCTCTGACCCCCGCTGGTCTGCACTGTACCTTTGGCGCTGATGCTGCGCAGGTCTGTGATCTTCATCAGCGTCTTAGGAAACATGTGAGGTTTGCTCGGCCGGCGCTTCCTCACGTAGATCTTCAGAGCCTCCAGTAAAGGCTCCTGCAGCTCGTCCACTTTGGAGGGTTCTTCCAGGTCCTGGCGGTCTGAAACGGCACACATCAGCTCACAAACACGTAACAGCAGTAACGCAAACCCATTTTAAGGGTGTCCATTTTCTTTTTGCGTGATACAGTCTGGTGTTTGTGTTTGTCCTCATGGTCTCTGTGTCAGACGAGGGAGATGAAGGAAAACATTATTTGGACTGAAAGCCACGTGACACTGCTGCTAAAATACGCCTGGCTCATTTTGGACTGACGAGCGACCACCGGGAATCTAGAGCTGAAACGATTCCTCAATTTACTCCAGTAATTTGCATATGAAAAATATCCAAGGAGATTCCGCTGCCTTTGCTTTTGTGTAGTTTTCCTTGTTTAATAAATCGTAAACAAGGAAAGAATCACAACTATCTCCAGGTCACAGCCCAAACGTTGAAGCTAGAATTTTTCACACACAAAAAACCTGACTTGAATGAAAACATAAACCAAAGGGAGGTCTTTACTTGACAATTCAAGTCATTTCCTCTATGTTAAATGTTCTACACAATTGAAAAGTAATATCAAAAGCAGAGATTGAGAAGCTTATATCAGACAATCCAAATACTTTCTTTTTGGAGGGGGTTGGATTAATAACGCTTTTTTTCTTCATCCTATGGCGTGAATATCAAGATAGGAAAACTTATCTCTCCAAATGGAAAATGTGTCCATATCTTTCAGCCTTGTCCAATATAAGCTAAATTATGATTCCCTTTTTTTACAAACATCAATACACTGGAAAAAATCTTATAAAACAAAAGACAGTAAAAGCAATGGTCCCAGCTCAAAGCCTCACATGGGATGGAGAGAGTGTTTTGAGGTTATCAGATCGGTGCTGAGCCAGAGAACAACTCATTCACATAGACGTTCATAATCAGTGCTTACATTAGCCCTTGTCCAAACAGCTTCTAAACCCCATAAAGCTCTCTCACATCAGCTCTCCAAATACTCGTGCTGCGATGTAATAAAATCTGCCGTGTTTTTCTTGTGTTCTGGTTAGTTCCACTTGGGGGCGGTGTTCTCCAGGGATCGGTCCTTTTTGTCAGAGTCTTGTCAGGTCTTCTACAGGATTATGCAACAGTGAGAAATATTTGGCCATGGGTGGAGGAAGAATGCAGGGAAAGAGAGAGAGAGACAGAAACAAGTTTGAAATGAGAGCTTCTTTACTGCAAGAAAGTCCAGACCTGTGACATTCAGACATTGTTGCGTTTTAAAGTTGCTCTGTGGATGTGAAATGGTTGGCAGCCATTGGAATGTTTATTACTGCTCTCCTAAAAGTCTGGCATGAGAATTACATCTGTGCAAAGACAAACGTACTCAGTCTTAGAAGGTTTATGAATGTAAGGTGAAGCAAGTGTGAAGGGTGAAAAAAAGTTATTGGCTGCAAATACAGGAATGTGATCATAAAGGACGTCTTTTCACTTGAGAAATTGCTAAAACATTTTGGGCAATACTTTTGTTATAAAAGGCACAAAACCCAAGTGGTGTGTCATAGCGGTACAGTGACATCATACTTTTACAATACTGATGTAAAAAGATACAAGATTTTTTAAATAGAAAAATATGAATCCAAATACCATTTGAGTGAATATTTTAAAGAACCCCATTTTATCTGTAATCATAGCTGCAAGTACTACTACTGCTCATCCAGATGGACATAGATGGAGGTATTGGATTTAGGTCTGAATTTTGCCATTCTAACACATTCTTCCCACCATTCCATAGCTCTGGGCAAAAACATGACAAAATGTACAAAAGTTGTGTTGTATTAGTACTCAGGGCTGGACTGGCCATCGGGCGTACCGGGCAATGCCCGAAGGGCCGATGCCCATATTTGGGCCGGTCTGTCTCCCTCATACAAAACACATGTTTGTGAAAAGTGTAAATCCGTTGAGAACTGTAAGAGGGGGCGGGGCGCGCGTGTCCGCGGGGCACCTGCTGTATGTACTCGAACGGGATTCCACCACCTCAGCGGCCGCAGTGTTCCCGCATCCAGCGGCTCTGAGCTGGACGCAGGAACCGCTCACAACACAACACGGTGAGCGCGTAGCCGCAACGTGACCATGTACCCAAGACCATAAACGTGCACAGGACCATGCGTGTCTTTGCGTAATTTGTGCAGTGCACCCAATAAATACACCGCTGCAGAAAACAGTCCGCGTCTCCCCTCTCCTCTAAATGAAAGCTCGGGTACCTAAATTTTCCATTGCATTAAAAGTTCATGTTTGAGCCCAAAAGTAAAATGTTGTGAACAGATTAAACAGATTTAGAGCCAGCTAATGGCTGACAATATGCATTTCAGAAATGTTTACCAATTCTCATCCCTGTAACAAACAGTGTTGTCTGTGTCCACCTCCCTCACTCTGAGACCTGTTTATTACTCTGTTTAATGTAGACTATTGTACTTTATTTTATTGTTGAAACTGCAGACATCCTGATCCTCTACAGTATTTGCTTCCACATACTGTATAAACCAGGGGTCGGCAACTTTTAGTGCCCCTAAAGTGGCTCCTGGAGCCTTTTCAAAAATGTCTGAAAATGGAGTGTGAGGGCTCTATTTTATTTCTAGTTTCAATGTGGTTTCTGTAGGAGGAACAACATTCTTAACGTTTTTCAATGCTGCAAAAACTTGTATAAGTAATAATCAATTTTTGCATTTCTGTCAACGTAGTGCGTCATATCTTGTGACGCGGCCCGTGCCAGGCGGCCACTGCTGTAAACAAACCGGCGTGTGTGCATCATAGACTGTGTGTGCGCATGGATCCCAAAGATAAAGAGAGAGAGTCGATAAGACTGGACTAAGAATGAGAATGAACATTTGCTTTCAGTCAATGAGGAAGGACTGCTTTATGTTTGTAATGAAAAGTTTTGTTGCAACAGGAGGAACAAAGAAGCTTTAAACACCGTTCACTGAAGGATTAATTCATCATAAAGTCAGAGCACCTATTTTCAGACTTCAAATACCTTCGCTAAGACGGTGAAAGAAAAGGCCATTAAGGACATTCAGCTCCAGCAAACTTCAGCCTGTGATGGATATGAACAGACAGTGATGCAGGTGAATTGAGCCAAAAAGCAGATTTATTTACTGTATTTGTACAATTGCATGAAGGCAAAAAAATGGAAGTTAAACTTTAAGCAGAGGTAAGCAGTGGTGCGTCATTCTCTCCAGGACACGCTGCAATGAAAATACACATTTGATAATGTTTTTATGTGTTTGTAGCCTTTACTTTGTCATTTAGATATTAGTCTAATATAGCTAATATAGCTAATATAGCTAATGTAGCTAAGGTAGCTAAGGTAGCTAATACAGCTTCAGCCCCTGTTACCTTCATATAAGCCTTATACAACGCTTTTTTTTTTTGTGTGTGGCTCCAGACAGATGTTGTTTTTAGTTTTTTTGTCAAATATGGCTCCTTGAACCTTTTGAGTTGCCTGGGCCGCTAAAAAGGAAAAAATGCCTGGGCCGTTTTTTTGTCCCAGTCCAGCCCTGTTAGTACTGTACTCTGTAATGTGTGCTAGGTCTATTAAAGAACATATTCTGTTTATAAGAGCCCTAATTAAATCTGTTGGCGTCTCTCTAACAAACGAGACGATACATAGATGGACAATGCTAACCCATTAGCTCTGTGAAGCCCAAATAGGGAAGAGCTTATGGTCGTTTTGTTCCAACGTTTGCTCTGGCTCCTATTGACTTTGTACAACAAACCTGGATGAATCAGTCAGCACTCAGTCAGTCCACTCCTACGATCCATGATACCAAATAAAAGACTTAATGCTCTTGTCAGTGCGTCAATCCCCCTCCACTCTATGGAAATGTCTGCTTTTTTAAGTATTATTACAGTTTTTTTCTATTCAGCTTATTATTTTTTTATTTCGTACTATGGTCTGGATTTGCTCCATTGAGCTCTGTTAACAGGTGGGAGGGGATAACTTGAAACGATTGGATGTGAGTTTGCCGTGACGTATGTAATGCACCCGAGTGAGTGGCTAGAATTTAGCATTTAGCCTAACCCTCTCCTTTGCCAATAACGGAGCCCGTGGGAAGTAGTAAAATTTCTTGATATTTGGGAGCCGAGCCAGAACCGATTACTATCGCATTTGAAAAACCACAACCAGCAAATTAGGTGCAAGCTCTTGATGTCACCGACACCTACCTACAACACCCGCCTCCAATGCTCACTGATTGGTCGGATGGGATACAACCGAGGTAACTGCAGCGACTGGAATCAGACCCAGACGTACACGTAGGGAAATAATAATTGACCGGAGTTTACGGATGGCTAAGGCCAGGCTATATTTTTCCTCCATATCTCAAGAATCTCTTGAGAACCTATGCATGGCCTTTTCCCATTCAAGAAATACAATTGTTTGTTTTGAACTATGCCTCAGTTTTCATCAGTCTGAAATCAATTATAGGACATAAACCTCTAGAGCAGTGGTCAAACCTGTTGTAGACCTGTCCTGCTGTAGACCTGCCCTGTTGTAGACCTGCCCTGCTGTAGACCTGTCCTGCTGTAGACCTGTCCTGCTGTAGACCTGCCCTGTTGTAGACCTGTCCTGCTGTAGACCTGTCCTGCTGTAGACCTGTCCTGCTGTAGACCTGCCCTGTTGTAGACCTGCCCTGCTGTAGACCTGTCCTGCTGTAGACCTGTCCTGTTGTAGACCTGCCCTGCTGTAGACCTGCCCTGTTGTAGACCTGCCCTGCTGTAGACCTGTCCTGTTGTAGACCTGTCCTGCGGTAGACCTGTCCTGTTGTGGACCTGACCTGCTCTAGACCTGCCCTGCTGTAGACCTGCTCTTTTGTAGACCTGTCCTGCTGTGGACCTGCCCTGCTGTAGACCTGTCCTGCTGTAGACCTGTCCTGCTGTAGACCTGTCCTGCTGTAGACCTGCCCTGCTGTAGACCTGTCCTGCTGTAGACCTGTCCTGCTGTAGACCTGCCCTGCTGTAGACCTGTCCTGCTGTAGACCTGTCCTGCTGTAGACCTGTCCTGCTGTAGACCTGCCCTGCTGTAGACCTGTCCTGCTGTAGACCTGTCCTGTTGTAGACCTGCCCTGCTGTAGACCTGCCCTGTTGTAGACCTGCCCTGCTGTAGACCTGTCCTGTTGTAGACCTGTCCTGCGGTAGACCTGTCCTGTTGTGGACCTGACCTGCTCTAGACCTGCCCTGCTGTAGACCTGCTCTTTTGTAGACCTGTCCTGCTGTAGACCTGTCCTGCTGTAGACCTGTCCTGCTGTAGACCTGTCCTGCTGTAGACCTGTCCTGCTGTAGACCTGCCCTGCTGTAGACCTGTCCTGCTGTAGACCTGCCCTGCTGTAGACCTGTCCTGCTGTAGACCTGTCCTGCTGTAGACCTGCCCTGCTGTAGACCTGTCCTGCTGTAGACCTGTCCTGCTGTAGACCTGTCCTGTTGTAGACCTGTCCTGCTGCAGAACTGTCCTGTTGTACACCTAACCTGCTGTAGACCTGTCCTGCTGTAGACCTGTCCTGCTGTAGACCTGTCCTGCTGTAGACCTGTCCTGTTGTAGACCTGACCTGTTGTAGACCTGTCCTGCTGCAGAACTGTCCTGTTGTAAACCTAACCTGCTGTAGACCTGTCCTGCTGTAGACCTGTCCTGCTGTAGACCTGTCCTGTTGTAGACCTGCCCTGCTGTAGACCTGTCCTGCTGTAGACCTGTCCTGCTGTAGACCTGTCCTGCTGTAGACCTGCCCTGCTGTAGACCTGTCCTGCTGTAGACCTGCCCTGCTGTAGACCTGTCCTGCTGTAGACCTGTCCTGCTGTAGACCTGCCCTGCTGTAGACCTGTCCTGCTGTAGACCTGTCCTGCTGTAGACCTGCCCTGCTGTAGACCTGTCCTGCTGTAGACCTGTCCTGCTGTAGACCTGTCCTGCTGTAGACCTGTCCTGTTGTAGACCTGCCCTGCTGTAGACCTGTCCTGCTGTAGACCTGTCCTGCTGTAGAACTGTCCTGTTGTAGACCTGACCTGTTGTAGACCTGTCCTGCATGCTGTAGATCTGACCTGTTGTAGACCTGGCCACACAGCCATGTTTGAACACAGACTAATGTGAAGGAAAACCCATTTCACATACAACGACTCACAAGCTCCTACAGTCGAATAATCTACAGATGGAGACAGTGAGTAGGTGTTTGTTAAACCATGTCCTAATTTTTCAAATTTGTCATTCAATGAGTGTCCTTTCTTTTCATGACTATTGACTGTAGATTCACACCCTGGCTGTGTAGTGGTGCTTTCAGACCGGATCATGCGTTACGTCGGCTTTCAATGCAAAGTCTATGGTGGCGAGCGTTCGAGCGTCACAACGCACGGACATCTCGACACGCACGGACGGATTGTTCAGTAGAGACGCACGGACTTGGTGGTAAAATCAAAGGGAAGGAGCAGGAGCGAAAAATCGACGCTCACAGGAGTTGGATTCTGTTCATCCTTTCTTTGGGACGTTCGTGCGACAACCAATCAGAGAGCCGCAAAGTGGTCACGGGGACATGAGCGGACTGAGCGAGCAGACTGAAAATACTCATAAACAGCCAAAACAGGACCCACACCAGACTTCACCAGAACTCAAACCAGGGTTGACAATGGGGGACTGTGTGCTTGTGAAAATATGGGTTGTCATGCTCCCGTGACCTTATGCAACTGCTTCGAGTGTGTTCGCCGATGCGGAAATACCGTTTAATAATATGAAAAAACGTATGGCGCACCTCCGTGAACACATACTACTGTTATATAAAGCCCGTGGATAGTCTCTGTTCAAAGTCACGCTGCAAAGCTGCATATTGGGGAAGATCTGTACACAAAAAGCCGCTAGCTAAACTCTGTTGGCATGGCGTTTCAGCGTTGGCGGTCTGAAAGCACCATAAGGGCTATTTGTCCAATAAGGACCAGATGACCTGGCCTCCACAGTCACCGGACCTGAACCCAATCCAGATGGTTTTGGGGTGAGCTGAACCACAGAGTGAAGGCAAAAGGGCCAACAAGTGCTAAGCATCTCTGAGAACTCCTTCAAGACTGTTGGAAGACCATTTCAGGTCACTACCTCTTGAAACTCATCAAGAGAATGCCAAGAGTGTGTGAAGCAGTAATCAGAGCAAAAGGTGCTACTTTGAAGAATCGAGAATATACAAAAAAAAATGTGTATGTACATAATTCCACATAATTTAATTCATAGTTCTTCAGTGTGAATACACAATTTTCAAAATCATGAAATAAAAAAACTGTTTGAATGAGAATGTGCGTATGTATTTGTCATTATTGATTCACTCCACACACTGTGGTGATAAGCTAATACTGTAGCCACAGCTGCCCTGGGGCACACTGACAGAAGCGAGGCAACCAGTATGTGCTCCTCCAACCACAGTTGGCACTGCAGTAGCCGCCCCACTGTGGCCCCTCGTGTTCCCAGAGGTCTCCCATCCCAGTAATAACAAGGCCCTGCCCTGCTTAGCTTCAGAGGTCTGATGGGACCCTATGATGGGAACCTATGCAACTCGGTTCCAAGCTTTGAAAACTATTTCACATGCAGGGGGAGGGTACGAGCTCTCACTAGTAAAAAGATTTTCATTAAAAAATTTGCACTCAAAAAAAAAAATCTTTTTTAAAATCCTCCTTCCGGTGGTAGCAATGGGAGCAACTGGCAGAACTCTTTTTCTCTCTTTTTTTTTACCTTAAAGAAGCAATATGTAAAAATCTGGCCAAAAGTGGTACTGCACTCCCCCAGACGAATCCAGCTGGGACAATATCTGTTTACAAAGAGTTTTGTCAACAACAAATCTATAACCAACACCTTTTTTCACAAAGACCTCCATATAAATCTTTATTATATCCCTTTTTTTGTCATAAATGATTTAAGAATCTGGACCACGGACTTTCTGATTGGTAAAACGGTGGAGGGCGAGACATCGAAATTAAAACATTAACAACATTTAGGGGCTGTAAGACTAGTATTCAAAAAGAGAATGTTTTATTATTGCCTTTTGACATATTAGGGCCATTTAATGATGACGTGACATGAAAATCTTTCATACTGCTACTTTAATACTTGTTTCACTAAATATTTCCTTCTAAAAATATAGGTACCACCCCACCAGACCTTCAGACCGTTTAATTACCTCCTGGACCCCCACACAGGTACCAGATGGACCTGCCCTCTCCAGAACCCGGGACAAAGCCTGGTGGGTTCTGTCCCAGTTCGCTCCCTCTCCTCCTGCAGCTGTCACTCTTGGCCCGGTCAATGTACTCTCAAACACACACACAGAGCCTATAGCAACGCCCCAGAACGTAACAGTGGCTCTCCTCTCCCCCCCCTCTCTCCTCCTTTTCGTCCCTGTCATCCCGATTGGCTTCACCTGCTCACCGTGTGTTTGGCCCCAGGAAACTCTTTCTGCTGCCTTTACATTTCCTCTATGTGAGTTTGAGCTGTACAATCTTCTTCTCAGTGCATTCTTCCTTTTGAAAAACGACCTGGGGACGTGTCAGCTGGTGTTTTTAACTCAAAACAGAGCAAAGAAAAGCTTGCCTGAGCCTTTGAAGGCCTGGAATGTTGGGAATAAACCAGAGGATTGGTCCTATAGCTGTAATGTGTATGTATTGGATTTCTCGACATTTTGAACAAGACAATTTCCATATTAATTTAAAGCTTAATAATGTTAGAGTTAATTTACTTTTACCGTTTGCAGATAACATCTCATTAGAATATTGTCCTTTGCATTCAGCATGTACAATGAACATGATGTCCATAATATCTATGTTAATGATTTTCAAGCAATTGTCCAATCAGAGAGCAGAATAAACCTCTTATATGGGTTGCCAGTTTGTTAAGTGAAATTTAGCTGGTTTTCTCTTTTTCTTTTTTTAATAAAAAATATCACAAACGTCATACAAAACCCACAGACTTTGTACAGTTTATAGCTGAACTCCAGCAGGTGGTTTGCATCAGGAATAGGGGCTTAGGAGACTCATGTGTCACAGGCAGGAAGATTCTGCAGGTGGATTGTAATTGGACACTTCATACGCACAAGTACATGCTTTAGTTCAAAGTGTTGAACTCATTCTTGTCAGGGGCTGAAATAAAACATTAGAAACTGGTCAGGAACAAAAAGAATAGAAGGGAATTATTTTTCCTATAATGTTTTTTCACATGAAGGTATTTTGACTATAATAGTTTCACAAAAATTTCCTGGTTGATTTTCTGAAAACAAAATGTGTTTATTGTTTATATTTTACTATCTACTGTAACTTCTAATGAAGAGAACCTTCTTTAACATGTCTTGGTAGCCTATAACCATCAACTCTACAAGTTAATAATAATAATTGAAAACCATTTTAGGGGCCAATAAAATGATTGGGTGGCTGTGTGGATTGCACTCTCCACTCTCAGCAAGGAGTTCCTGGGTTCGAATCCCAGTCGGAACAGGGTCTTTCTGAGTGGAGTTTGCATGTTTTCCCCATGCCTACGTAGGTTTCCTCCGGGTACTCTGATTTCCCCTACCACTAAAAACATGCACACTAGGTTAAATCCTCCAGCTCTGGTAGTCCTGACCAAGCCGAGCATCAACATACGGAGATGGGTTCCCGGGCGCTGTTACTACGGCGACCACTGCTCCTGACGTAAGCCTTATGGTGCGTTCAGACCAAACGCGATTTCTGCGGCCAAATCGCGTCTATCGCGCGGCTTGGGCCGCTTTTGACAAATTGTGGCAGCCGCTGTCACAGAGAAACTTGGCCGCGCGGCCAGGACACAAGAGGGCAGCCGCTGTCACAGAGCGTTGAGAGCGTTTAGGGGCGGGGCTTGTCTCTTTTGCCTGTAGTTTCCCAACATGGATGTCAGCGAAGGAGTTGCTTGGCTCTATCTGATAAATAAAGCCAGACAACGTCGTCAAAGGGCGAATCGACGATGTGTCTGGATTCATCAGATAGTCCGTAGACGGTTGGAGTTTGGTGAGTTTCACCATTTGCTTAGTGGCATCAGGATGGGTCAAATGCAGAGGATTGAATTACCCGACGGGGATTAATACAGTGCACCTTACCTTACAAAAAATTGTCTTGAGGGCCAGATTTGGCCCACGAGCCTGAGTTTGACATAATAATAATAATGCATCGGTTTTATATAGCGCTTTTTTGGACACTCAAAGACGCTTCACATGTGTCATTATTCATTCACTCCATACACGGTGGTGATAAACTACTAAGAGCTGCCCTGGGGCACACTGACAGAAGCGAGGCAACCAGTATGTGCCATCGGCCCCTCCGACCACCACCAACCATTCACACACACACCAGACTCATTCTAGGCAATGGGGGTGAAGTGTCTTGCCTAAGGACACAACGGCAGTTTGGCACGTTACAGCCGCAGCCGCCCCACTGTGGCATCAGGTGTTCCCAGAGGTTAAGTGTCTTGCCAAGGACACAACGACAGTAGTCAGTGGGAGTCGATGGTGAAAGTCTTGAGCGGGGCTTGAACCCACGACCTTCTGGCTCAAAGGCCAACGCTCTACCAACTGAGCTACTGCCGCCCGACATGTCTACTTTAGTGGAACTTCTAAAAGATGAGATAAAAAGTTTTAGCGACTCATGTTGCATGTTTTAGACGTTAGACCAAACACTTCATCAAAGAAAACTCCCATAGCTTTGTTTTAGTCTTTGCGGTGGTATAAAAAATCAGAAGATAGCTCTGCTCGACTAATGGAGGAGTCAAATAGACGCTTGCTAAGGCCAAAGGTTAATGCTAGTGTGATGCCTGTTTGATGGACTGGTGGAGGCGTCTCTGGCTCATCAGGACTTTGCGCTGATGAGTCCTGATGTCCTGGTCAAAGTCATCAGTGACCAGTGGCGCTGCAGCCAGACCCACGCTCCAACTTCACCAAGACTAGATCTGAGACCAGCCCACACATGGATGAAGTCTTTTTCACTTCCAGAACTACAAACCAGACCAGGGATGACGGCCACTTACACTGTTTTACATGTTCAAAATAATGTGCACGGGGACTGGACCCCTGGTGCCCCGAGTCAGAACTAAACACGGGGAGGCAGCATTTCAGATTCATGCAGCTATAATCTGGAACAGTCTTTCTGAAAATGTGAAACAGGCTTCTAGTCTGACAATGTTCAAATCCAGGTTCTATGGTTTTTATTTTATTTTAATATCTTTTAATGTCTATGTATATATGTTTTTCTTCTTCAGCACTTGAGTATGGGGGGTTGCCTTGTGTATGAATTTTGCTATACAAATAAACTTTCCTTGACAACATTTCTGATCAAGGGGCATTTTACCATTATGTAAAGCAAGTATTTCTCACGAATAAAATATGTTAAAATTAGTCAACTATGACTAACTATGACCCGTAAGATTTGTTGGGGGAGAATGCCGTCATTGCTGAATTAGTCGAGTTGGTTGAGTCCCCAAGTCCCCGTCCCCAAGTCCCCATACCCAAGTCCCCCAAGTCCCCCAAGTCCCCCCCATCCCCAGCCCGAGTCCTTGTCTCCAGCCCGAGTCCTTGTCCCCAGCTAGAGTCCCTGTCCCGCACTGACCTCCAGAGATGAGGCAGATGGCGCTGAGCAGGCCCGTCTCCGTGTCGTCCATCTCGATGGGCAGCAGCTGGTTGGCGAAAGTGAAGACCAGGTCGGTGAGAGGGCCGAAGCCGGCGTTGTGCATCTGTGTTCGGTTCAGGGTCAGGCCGTCCGAGAAGGTCATAGTGTCTTTTTCCGGGGTGTAGCGTGTGCAGATGCGCAGGATCTGACAAACACAAGAGAAACACAACATGTATGAGAGGGAGTGGACAAAAAAGAAAGTTTCGATTGGAAAATAGTTCTGTTTATCTGTGCATACAACTAAAGGATTGTCTCGTGTGTCTTCCCTGAGCCGCCTCAGTCCTGTCCTGCGTGGTCTGGTCCTCGTTCTACGGCCCGAGTCCTGGATCTAGAGCCTTTCTGTCTGTGAGAGCAGATCCCTCCCTCAATATGGGCCTCCCCGATGTTTCTCACTTTTCATCCACTGATTTTTTTCAGTTGTTCCTTGCCATTTGCAGCTGAATTCAACATTTAACGACATCTATAAACATATTTAGACATCGGTTATCTACCCCTTATGGACCACCGTGTTTTTTGTAATTGCATTTGAGCAGTTTGGTTCCCTGATCTGTGTTGGCAAATGGGCAGCTTTGCAAAATCCTCCAAAATAACTACCGTTGTGATTCAGATCTATACAAAAATAAATTGAATTGAATCGTCACTCTTTTTAACATACTCTGATTATTTACATATTTGTGCATGCTTGTTTCTATCTTGTTCTGTGCGATACAAATAAAGCCCCCATCACCATGTTTCTGACACCTGCGCCCTTCTAAAGTACAAAACAGTGCGTCTGCTCCAAACCGCGGCGATCACCTTTAGCGCCGGCGGTAAACACGAAGCTAATGAAGGCGAGTCTTTGAAGTGCTCCTCTGACAGTGAGTGGCAGCCCGTCTGCTACATGAAACAGAATAAAACATGGGCCGGGTGCAGCGGCTGGACACCCCCCCCCCCCCCCCCTCAGCCACCCCCCCCCCCCCCCCCCCCCCCTCAGCCACTGACGTCCCATCACATCACGCGTAAACACGGCTCTATAACTTCAGCAGCCATCCCACCACGGGCCGTTTGAAGTCTCCCCTCGCACCGGGACGCAATAATAATAATGCAATAATGATGTCCGTGCGGAAACAGGTTTGAATGCGGCCGTACGTCGATCGTCTTCATAAAAAAGTACGGAGAGTTCAAACTGTGCTGATGTCAAAGCTACAACACCTGATTTTGTGCTTGTTTCATACATATTTTGTAGACAATTGTTTCTTGTACTTTTGAGCTAGTTCTGTATGTATTTGTCTGAGGCACACTTGGGGGACTTTTGCACATGTATTCCAATGTGGTTTTACTGCAAATGGTAAATAATTTGAATCTGAATCTAAATAAATGTGTTTCTCTTGTTTAAGTGTAATTTTGGCCCCTAAATTCCTACATTCTGTGTTCCATTAATTTTCATGTATGAGATCTTCAAATCATTACGAAAAAATATATATTCTACAATTGAAAGAAAACTTGCTAACGCGCTATGAGCATTGGGTGGCAGCTCTCATTGCCACCCCCCGACCCAGAAATTGACTAATAAAGGGGTTGAGAATGAATGAATGTATCTTAATTTTAAATAAGTAATCCTTGTTTACTAATTGCGCCTTTTCAGAAACACTGTCACAAAGCGCTTTACAATTGTTGTGGGCATAGATTTTTTTCCGCTCCATACAGTAATAGAAGCGGCCTTGCCATACAGGAGGCACATGTCGGACTTGCATTTAGAGGTAGGGGAAACCGGAGCAGGAGGAGAACATGCAAACTCCACACGGAAAGGCCTGGAGATAGAATTTAACCCAGGACCTCCTATAGCACAAGCAAGATAAAAAATGGGTTAGTATTACAAAATCTAACCAGTGCACCAACGGGCGGCACATTGGCGGAGATTTGCTTTTGGAATACAAACCAATTTTTGATCAACAGAATACATCTTGTTTATGTGTGTTTAATTGAATGTAGTGATTGTGTTAAAGTGAAGCTTCAAAGATCTGAACATTGGTCTGGAACACTCTGTTTGGGAAATATAACTAGTCTTCTACAATAAATAGTAAAAGCACAAAACTCGCACTTCCTCTACACTTTTCCCGTCGTCATCCGGTTCATTTTCCATCAAGACTTTGTGAAGAATTCCCCAACTTTTGAAGACGTGCATTAGGGGTAAACACACTTCTCCGCTTCTCCGCCTGATGACTAATGTGCAAAAACTAGGCCAATGTAAGAGGAAGGATTACTCATGATCCCAAAGCTGAGAATTTAGCCTAACAGAGAGAAAAGTCCTAAATAAATGGTGCCACGGCCGCGGATGAGGACGGAGATTACGGCTCAATAATTTACAGGACCCTACAGTTTGGCTGAAATAACAGGGGCATCCGGGGTATTCTATTTTCAGAGTTGTTCCCACAAGAAAAATGTAACTTATTAATAAAGGATGAGAAAATAAATGTGCTCAACTTTATAGCATGGGCAATTGTGAAGTATTACAATTTTACTTGCTAGAATAGTGAACAGAACAAAGTTGGGTGATGTGGATTTTCAGGGGATATATTGAAATATTTCCCCATAAACCAGACTAGGTTTATGGGGAACCTGGAGTTATATTTTTCTATATGTTAAACATCTATAGACTTCTCTTTATCTTCAGTCCTTCAGCCCACAAAGTTTGAAGTGTCGCCATTTGAATGATTATGATTATGCTTTCTTTTGGGCTGTTAAAATGAATCATTTCCATTTTGATGTTTTATTTTTTATTGTATAGTTTTAGTATCCCCCACTGTTTCTTCGGAACCCTCTGCACTGGGAGCGGTGGTCGGCTGTGGCTGTGGGGGTCTGACTCCTGGACCTGGTGGAGGTCGGGGGCTTCTTCTCCCTTATGGGTCCTGTGTCGTTCCCTTTGGCCACAGACTCTCTGCTACTGGTGTTGACGTCTCCTAGGATGGAACTTCTTCAGCTGGTTACATCTGCATCCTGCCCTATCTCTCATTGTTTTACCCATCTGATGTGACTGAGTGTGTGTGTGTGTGTGTTTTTTTTTGTGATCAATTATTTATTCAAGTATGACAATGTATTTGACAATGTATTCACATTTTGCACTGATTAGCATGCATCACACTTTTTATCCCCTTTTTGGTCCCCATATCCCCTTTCCCCTTGTGATGGGCAGAGAAGCTGAAAATAATAAATGGATAACTAAATAAATAAAGATTATAAAAACAGAGTAGTAAATAAAAATAACAATAAAAATAATAATAAAATAATAATAATAATAAAACATAAAAAAATAAAAAATATAAAGGTTCAAGACATCGAAAACAAAATTTGTAATTAAAGAATACAATAAAAATACATACGTGTGTACTTAATAAGATAAGATAAGATGTACTTTATCAATCTCACACAGGAGAAATTTACAATATAGATATAGGTTTTGGGTGGGTCTGTTGGGTGGTCAGATGAAGGGGTTATGTAAAAACTAAACTGTGAACTGTAAAATACTCTGTGTTGTATTTTTTTTTTAATGAAAAGCGCTTTATTGATAGATAGACAATGTGTTGGTCCTGCAGGATGACAGTTGCTCCTGACCGACGGCTGTGGATTTTGAGCTGAAGTACAGTCGCATTACTTGATATTGGCTTCCATTCCAGCTCAGATGTTAATTTGTGCAAAGAACTTTTGTCTTAGAACTTTTTGATAGAATTCAACCTGCGTCGCTCTTCATGTTTCATTTCGTTTCACAAACACAAATACAAAGGAGGGATATAGGAGGCTATTGAAATCAGGAAGAGGCAACGCGGACCATCAACAGAAATGAGGGGGCCTTCATCTTGTCTCACACTCAAGACTCACTTCTCCAGAGACCAGAGACCCTGAGACCCTGCCTCGACTGCAGAGAGATCCCCTGACAACGTTCCATGTTCTGTTCTCTAAAAGGTGGTGCAACAAAGCCAAACGACTGTGACGGGACGAACCCACTCACATAAGAATGCATTGTAATAAAGGCATTTTCAATCAACAGGAAAACCGTAATCACTCAAATATGGGAATGAAAGATACTGTACATTTCTACACACACCCACAAAAACACACACACGCACACGCACACACACAGAGAAGCACGTCAGTACCAGGATGTCGAGGCAGGCGGCTTTGAGCAGGGTGATCTGGTCAGCGATGGTGAGTCCGGTGAACCCAGGCACTCGTTTGGCGAACTCCACAATCTTGATAATGCACTTAGTGGCCAACTCGCTGAACTTGTCCCACAAACCCAGGTCCAGCCTCACGCGTTGATCTGCGCTGGAGTTCTGCAGGAAACAACACCAAACAAACAGTTATCAAACACGCCATTCATGCAGTTTTCACAAGTTGGAAAAATGCCGGGATGATACAGGAAAACCGGAGCATATGGCAGTTTATTATGTTCTATTGTTGTCTTGCCTGTTTTAATCAAATGATACAAAAATAAACAAAAATATGTAATGGCTGAGTTGTAATCACGTGGTACGAAGGGGCGAATAACTTTAATTTCGAGTGAAAACTATTTTCAATGCGGCGTAGCCCTTGTATAGTTTGAATTAGTTAAAACATTTTCAACAATGAGGAGGATTCTGTGGCTGTTATAATGGCGCCAGTGGAGTTTGTCACTCTGGGATCAACAGAAGCTGTATCCAAGACAGTTTCGATCAATAATAACACAATAAATGTTACTTTCAACAACATTTGAGGTGAGGTTTGAGACAACCTCTGTAAATTAAACATTCTTTCTCACTCTTGCCTTGGCTACAACAACTGCGAACCACAAAATAGACTGCATTGTTTCTCTGAAAGTCAGCGACGTGAAGACTGCCGACTGTCAGCTGTGTTTGTGACCACAGATGCTACGCAGACTAATGCATTTCTTCCATTCCTTTTTAAGTACACCCCTTAGAGAAATATATTTTATCAAAATACAGACTCCACTTGTTCTCAACTTGATACAAGTTGCTACAACGGCACAGAAAATAAGCATTTTTGACTCAGAATCAGTGAATATTTACATGGTTCTTAATGGGGATATGTACTTCCTGTCCCTCACAGGACTTTCGCACAATTGCTTGACGTCAGCTGCAACCAAGAAATTACTTTTAATTTTCTTGACTTATTCAAAATATAGTTTTTATGTACATTGGAGTTTTGGCCCAGTTTGGTCGCTCTGGTTATGCTGTATGTAATACACAGTTTAAGATGAAAAGATCCTCTATTCAACCCATACTTTTCAGTGTTGCATCTCAGATAGATAAGTGAATATTCAGTATGGCACAACTCTATACTTCTACTCTAAACTCTCAGTGGTCTATTAAAGTCACTACTTTCACAATCCAAAAAGTATGCCTAGAAATGTCCTTCTTGTGAGGTGTAGTTTTACTGGTTACAGATGCAATCCATCTACTGTAAAAAACGGTACAAAGTGTGTATTAATGTCTCCAACATGTAACTCTGCTGCTAGGATCATCACCCAAACAAAAGCTACAGATCACATCACTCCAGTTCTTACCCAACTCCACTGGCTTCCCATAACCCACAGAATCCAGTTATATCCAAAAATATTATCCATCCATCCATCCATTTTCTTCCCTTTAATCCATTTCTGGGTCAGGGGGGTGACAGTCAGAGATGCCACCCAAGTCTCATAGCACCAGCCCCTCACTGACCCTCTGCAGGTGGTGAGTCCACAGGAGGACGGCTGCTCTCTGAGTGTGAGCATAGCCTTGATCTTTCAGTGGGGGCTTTGGGCAAAGTGGGGTTAAGTGTCTTGCCCAAGGACACAACGACAGCAGTCATCAGTGGGAGTCGGTGGAGAAGGTGCAGAGGTGGGAAATAATATTATTATTATCATTAATATAATTATTATCAATATAGTTGCTTAAATTCTCTGATTGGACCATCTGCTTTGAAACTGTAAAACGTAAATATTGTGCTCTTCATTTCCATTGTAGTTTCATTTAAGAATGACTCCTATGACTTTGGTTATGTCAAACTATTATCTGGGGACACATAAAAAATATAGATGTAATTTAGAATGAAAACACAACCATGGTAAACTCTACATGCCAGAAGGGTTATTTCACATCCCTGAATATTTAGGTGAATGGAGCTAAACAAATCAACTCCAGGTCTGTTTCCTTTTACAATTCAAACACTATTTCCCATAATGCACGCCTGTTTAGTGTCCCATTCCCATATTTGTGCATTGGTACTTTTAGCCATACACCATTGCAAATCACGAATGAGCTAAAAAAAAAAAATAACACCATCTTTACTTTTCCACCTCAACATGCCAGAGAAATGCGATCTCATGTCCAGGTATAGTGTCATCCTGCTCCTAATAACGGCCTCCTCTCCTCTAGTGTCACTCCTCGGCAGTAAACACAACCTGCATATGCGCTGTGGTTGTGTGGTGTGTTGTGGCGCTAGACGGGTTGTTGTCGGGCCCCAGTTCCTTATAATGAGGAGGCCATGACGGTAGGCGCGCTCCTGGGGCCACAGACGCTCTGACAGCCACTGGATAATAATGTAATATAGATACAATATGTGTGGAGCCTATGGGGACAGACAGGAGGGAGGGAGTGTGGGAGGCTATTGTGCAAAAAGAACCAGGATGTTCTATAAAAGAAAGTAAGTATCATATTGTAGATCACTTTTACAAATATGTGAGTTCTTGTTTGAAAGCGTTCAGTCGGAGATGCGTGTTTTTGAAATGGGGTTGGATGAATGTCTAAGATGGTGCGGTGTGATTGAAGGCACACAACTTGTAAGGAACGGTTTGGAAGGCAGAAAACACAAGTATTTCACAAGTTTCAAGGTTTTAAATTTGCCAAAACATTTTACAATTAAATGAGGCCAAAAATCAAATGTTAATAGAATTCAACCAAACCAGACACAAAACACCCCGTGTGTTTTGTGTCTGGTTTGGTTGAATTCTATTGAACATTGAAACTGGCTGATCAGACCAACAGACAACAAGGGCAGTCAAGACGACTTTAATGGATGACTGATGCAATCCACCTGCTGGAGGTTAGCTAGAAACACTACAAACTCTTCATCCATCCATTTTCGTCCCCTAATCCATTTGTGGGTTGGGGGGTGGCAGTCAGAGCTCAGCACACAGAGCACCAGCCCCTCACTGATCCTCCTGCAGGTGGTGAGTTCACAGGAGCTGAGGTCTTTCAGCGGGGGCTTCATGCAAAGTGGGGTTAAGTGTCTTGCCCAGGGACACAACAGCAGCAGTCATCAGTGGGATAAGTAGAGCTTATGGTGGGCTCGAACCCACAACCTTCAGGCTCAAAGGCCAATGCTCTACCAACTGAGCCACTGTCGCACACTAAGTAACACACAAACTCTGTGTTTTACAGATGATTTATTATTGTATTTGAACACATTTTTGGTGCCGTTTTTGTAATTTTGTTAATAATATGTAATTTTTTTTTATAATTTTAATTATAATATGAATTAAATTATTATTTTTGTATTGTATTTTTTTAATAAGGAATACAACTTGTGTGTATTTATATGTGTGTGTGTACTGTCTATAACAGTATGTGAAATTTAATTTTAGATTATTTAAATGTTCAAAATAAGCAAATAGACGGTACGCCTAATTTAACATGTCCTTCACTCTCAAACAGAAGGACTGCAATCTTGTCTTTTTTTCTGTTATTCAAATTAATTCAAAGTTAGTGCGACCTCCATCATTTCAAATAAAGTCTTGCTAGATTCTCAAAAAGATCTAAAAGCTTCTACCTCTACAGAGGGAACAGGATCTGAGGTTTTTATAAGTGACCAGCTTTAGACTGTTTGAAAAGTGGGCTACACAAAAGATCCTTGAGCGACAGGAACACTTCTAAAACATCTTTCACTGCAGCTATGAACAAACGTGAGCTCAACAATCCAGTGGTGTAAATTCTATAGTGAACGAGAACTCTAAACTTCTGATAAATGGGTGTTGGGTTTTTTTGTGAGGAGCTCTTGTGACTTTAGGATGGACAAAAATCTGGTTGAGAAAAGTAAACTAAAATGCCAGAAATCAGTCTTTTCTCTCAGATTTGGAGACATCTGTGGCATGTTTGAAGTCGTACGAATGGATCTCCGAAAGAGGGAAAAATCTCAGAGGATCACTGCATTTGTCATGGTGTGGATTTTGTGTTTTTTTTACTTGGTTTTATTTTTACTTAATTTCTCTGTAGTTTTAGTTTTTTCAAGTCTGGCACGAGGCTTAGTGTTTACCCAACTTCATAAAACACATCTACTCTCAGCTGTTACAGAAATATGACTTGTATAGATGTATTTTAATGTGAATTAACATTAACTTATGAGAAAATGATTCATGAATTCTCCATTCTTGATTCAAATAAAAGCATGTCTGTTGTTCTGTGCTGCAGGTCAGCTGATGGATGGGAAATATTTTTCGGTAATATCTGTCAAAGAACTCATGTACTAGGTTCTAACAGATTGTTTAAAATATCTTGATTGTCTAAGAAAGTGGAATGGTTTGAGTTACACAAATCAAAAGATAACTTCATTTGTTTAATACTTTACTCTTGTCTATTTAATGTCTGGTAATGTCGTCATTCAGACATGCTGGGTTGTTTTGTTTCATTGACTATTTTTTTCAGGCGGCACGGTGGCTGAGTGGATAGCACTCTCGCCTCTCAGCAAGAAGGTCCTGGGTTCGAATCCCGGTCGGACCAGGGCCTTTCTGAGTGGAGTTTGCATGTTCTCCCTGTGTCTGCGTAGGTTTCCTCCGGGTACTCCGGTTTCCCCTACCACTAAAAATATGTCCAATAGTTCTGGCATGCGCCTCCTGTACTGGCGACCCTGCTCCCATCTCTGTGTGGAGTGAGAGACAAATGCCCAAAAAAATTAACAATTGTAAACCGCTTTGAGACTCAGATCTGCAGTGAAAAGGCGGTATATAAATAAAGATTACTACTACTACTACTTACTTACTACTTTCATTGTCTACGTCTTACTCTGGACAGAAGCCACAACAACCTGTTCACTGAAAGTCTGTAAAGTTGTATTCAGATATAGTGTATCAGTTCAGTGTGTTTTTGTTGCATATTAAAAGGTGAGGTAATAATAGTATTTCAAACATATATTACATTTTTTATAAGCATGCTTTTTATACATGGCCTTGAATGAGAGTTATTTAAAGAGAAATGTAAGATTTGTCAGTAAGACCAATAGCGAGACAGCTCACCTTTCACATGGAAGCAACAGAATACATGAATCAGAGCGTTATTAACCCTGTTCTAAGGATGGATAA